ATTACAACTCATAAGAAACATGTCAGGGTATATTCTGTAATATTCATGATATTGCTCATGTCTATAAGCGATAGTTACTTCGGTTCTTTTCTTAATTGGTGAAAATGAAATAGTGCGCCAAGATTCTAGGCCGCCTTTATTATCCATAGAGGCTTTTAACATTGCATATTGGACTATCACTTTACGGCTATAGTAGTGTATATAAGTGAGGACCACCATTAGTGCACGTAGAAAATTAAACAGTCAACCACATGAATCCATTTGTCGCAGCCAAAGTTCGGTAACTAATGTAATATGCAACTCGCTGCCAGAGTCATGGCGCATTGTGTGAACTAACATAGTTTCGCTTGAATACAAACCGGATATCTCTAGTTTCGTCGATATTTCGCATAGTTGGATTGTTATAATTTAATTTGACAATGTTTATTAAACATATTAATAAGATAAACAGTAATATTAATTTATAACAACAATAATTTGAACGTTTCAAATTGTAATTACATTAATATATGAACATAATATTTTACTTTAAATAAAAATTATGATAATTTTCATACATGAAGTTCATTAAATTTCCATCATTCAAATACAAAATTATTATCATTCATTAGCATTCTTTTAATGGTTTGTTCTTAGACTAGTTAATTTTTTTTTTGTTTTTCAAAAAAACATGGGTAGAAAATTGTGCCTCCCTTATTGACTTACTACGTCCACATATCGTCATAGTCGTAGAATACTGACGGATCTGACAAAGATTACATATATATATCCGTTAGTATGCTACTACTATGACGATTTTATGTTTTTTTTGTGATGTATTCACGGCTTGGGATGTATCCTTTCAGCTCGTCTTTAATTACAATTACTTTCATTTCAGCAAATATTTTTCTTGAAAAAAGTATATAATTGAATCCATCTTGATATAATTATAGTGTTTTAATAGTGTGGAGGATAAATTCATGTCCATCTACAAATGCTGTGATACGTTACTGTTTTGAGCATTTGTAACTTATTGCTACATTTAAACAATAGGCGTTTTTTTATTTATTGTAATTAAAGGGATATATTACAAAAAATTTAGATTTCAATAATTAAGATTATACTATAACTTATTCAATAAATGTTGTGAAAAAAAAAATCGGTCAGGTGCAATTTAAACTCACACGTCGAAGGTTTTTTTTTTTTTACATTAATACATAATTTTAATTTAATTTTCCCACAAAAAACTAATTCCATTTGTGACAAAATTATTTATTTTGATTAATAACTAAACAAGTAAACCAAAATACATTATTTGTGGGAACAAATAATGCAAACGACTTTTGTACAAAGTCTCCCTCTAGTTGATTGAAAATTACTTTTATTGCATTACTTTTATAAAAGTGGCACTTAACAATTATTGTTATTGGTCGCATCATAAGGGTTCCTTTACGGAACTATTTTTGTACGGAACCTCTTTTGTTCCTATCCCACGATATCTTAGTCTTCCAAAGAAAATTAAATTGAGTGATGTTCAACGATAAATATAATATAATTACTAAAGCTAAACAGTAGAAGAAACGAGTAAAATAATTTAAAAAAATATCAATAATTGATAAATGGTAAATTTCAGTCTTCAAATATATTTTTACTTAAACATAAAACATCATATTGTAATAATTCTGTTTTGTAAGAACGGATATTCTTACAAGGAGAGTTTATCTTATCGACAGGGTATCTTAAATTATAATTAAAAAAAAAAAAAAACAATAACAGCTAATTCAAACGTGATAAATATAATATAGAGACCAATATCGGGTAATTAAAACTCATCGATTACAAAAAGCGATATCATAATTTGTCAACTCTTTTTCGCCTAAAACGAATTTCCACACGAAGAAATCCTCGGCCAGTAACTAGTCTGCTAATGAGCTTTTATTAGAACATAACGGATTTCCAAATTGCCTTCTACCTATTCGGAATCGCATGTTCCCTTTATGTAGAGCTATTACAGGGGTCTATCGGCCTTTATCAGGCCAAACTGACCATTTAAAGCCTGACTAGTTTTCAGGGTTGTCAAAGTTTTTAGTTTTAGGCAAATTCAAAAAGGAGTAAGTTCTCAATTAGTGTCTTTTTAATCACTTGAATCGTGAAGCTCAACCGTCTTTATCATTTACTTATGTAAACGATAAAGCGTATTCCTAATGAGCAATAGATATATATTCATATCACACTTATTGGGGAAAAAACTATATCAACACTAGCTTATACCTGCATTTACCATAATTAATTGGTAGCCTGTATGTCCTTTCCCATCTCCAATGCTATGTGTATACAAAATTTTATAATGATTAATTGAGGCGCCAAGAGGCAGCAAACAAACATAAACTCACTTTCACATTTATAACATCAATAAGAATAAGGAAAATATTGATTGTTAGAAAAACATATACAACAAAAAATACAAAAAAAATATATATATATATATATATATATATATATATATATATATATATATATATATATATATAAGAAGAGTCTCATATTGGGCAAAAGGAACTTGCTTAGCTAATGTTCTGTGTGTCTAAGTGCAATGTACAGCTGCACAGCACTGGTTTTCAGTGAATCCATAATTATACCAGACCATAGTCATTTTTGCATCGACTTTCAATGAATTTTTTGTACAACTTAGAATAGCAAACAAGCTGATGTACTTTTATTAACAATGTAATAGTCGAAAAGTATTCATTTTCAGCATAATATGCATATAAATCTATGTCAATACCACACGGCTCCCTTTCCTGTGGGTGTCGTAAGAGGCGACTAAGGGAACTTGAGAGAAGGGCAGCAGAATCCCTTTTAGAATGAAAACCTAATTGTGGTTGCCAATCCTGCCAAGCAAGACAACTACTGGCAAAACTCCCTTTATGGAAAAGGCCTATATTCAGCAATGATCAGTTTATCCGAGGGAGACTTTGTACAAAAGTCGATTGCTTGGGTACCTCTGTCCCAGTCGTGTTTCTACCGTGAAGCAGTTGTGTTTGCATGGCGTGTATTTACAGGGTACAGAGGAATAACACCTGAGTCCTCAGGAATGGCAACGCATGGGGGGATATCATGGGCGAAACAGTATACTTTGTTATGTCCATGGAACTGCTCATATCTATAGGCGATGGTTACTACTTTCCATCAGGTGGGCCGTCAGCTTGTTTGCCATTCTAAGCTATATATAAAAAAAAAATTATATCTCTCGCGGACAACCCTGCTTGTTTTATACAAAGATTATCTTGACACAGACACAGACAATATGGCAACCGAGTCATTTCTATTCAGTGCTGTTACATTCATTGGACACACTCTTACTTTTTTATTATTATTACTGTTATCACAATATATACAGGCATATGTGCCACCTATCCCCAAACTTGTTAATGAAATCTCAGGTAATCTCAAGACGGACGTATCAAGTGAGAAATTTACTAAGCACGTTAGACACTTTGTATAGAAGTGACGTCGTGTTTACTATCCACTCGTATGTACTATTATATTGCTAATATGATGTGTCAGCTATTATGGTACTATGATATAACAAACAAACTTTTTATTCCTTAAGAATAACAGCAACTTCGTGATAAAAACTATGAAAATCGATACGAAAATAGGAGATATTGTGTGACATATAAACAAACAAAAAAATACAGACGAATTAAGAACCTCCTTTTAAACTTATATCTGTAACAAAACTGGTGTAAAATTAATGTACTGCTTCTTAAAACAAGACTTTAAGGGAAACCAACAAGAGAGTAAATTAAAGCGTGCAGTGTATATATTGTATAAAAACAAAGATCTTTGACACTCGTTTGTCTCTGCTTACCTCGTAACGAATCTACCGTGAATAAAACGTCTACGGAATCCTTCTTATATCTGGCCCATGCGTTCAAGTCTTTTTTCTACATTGTACTTGTAAAATGTACGTATACATTCATAATTATGTAAAATAAGTAAAATGAATAATATTTAAACATTCTAACCTCTGTGTCATAACAAAACATCACCACGTAGGCATAGACTAAGTATTTTACTACATCTACGATGTTTATGGTATTGTGTTGAAAACTATTTGCATTTTTAGGCATATATTTAAATTAATTTAAGATATTTACATGCTTATGTTATGCTAATTTTAATTATTTTAGATTAGAGCTTACGAATCACTAAACTATTGGATAAATTTTGATGAAATTTAGTATGGTGGTAACTTAAGATATGGATCGGAATAAGAAGGTTGGATAATTAGTACTGGTGATTAAGGTCGGCCTAGGAACCTGATTGCCAGTAACATTCTAATTGTGCTTAAAGACCAGGTGAAAACAACGATAAAAAAATACCGATACCAGTTAATAATTTAGAATATTACGTACAATTAACAAGAAGCATAATCTATATTAAAGGAGTTTTTAATTAGTTTTTTTCCATTCGGAATAATCATTGCCACTATCTAAACTCGCCATGTGTACCCCGGCATAGAATAGGCCGCCCCTACCTTTCCCTAGGTGTATTAAGAGGCGACTAAGGGATGGCGAGGGATGGGCAGCAGCATCCCTCTTAAAATATCTCTAAAACCCTAACTGCGGTTGCCAACCCGTTTGCCAAGCGTGGCAACTACTGGCAAAACACCCCTTATGGGGAAGGCTTATGTCCAGTGCAGTGGAAGGCTTATATGCAGTGCTTAAGGCAATGAACAGTTAACGGCTGAAATAATAATAATTAAAAAAAACTGACATTGAACAGAAAAAAAAAATTTAATGGATAAACTTAAAAAAAAAAAGCTATATTATCATCCAGTATTATGAATAGTATTTCATTTAAAAAAAAATCCTATGCGAATAAGAACCTGTCGCTAGTCCTTCACAAAACTAAAAAGACGAAGCCCAGACGTTAGCGGACATGTGAAATATTTACGTACTTCGTTTCTTATCAATTTATCGCCATGCTCCTCTACCTATATCAAAACATTTTTATTCGGGCTCCGTTCGCGTTATCGTTCACTCGATTGTGACCTCGTTTGTAATTCATTCGCCGGCCGATGCGACTTTCTTCGGCCGTCACATTGAAGCGTTGTAGTTTTAGTACTCAGTTCGCAGTACGCATGCGCGATTAATGTCAAACGGTGAAACGCGCTCTCACGTAGCGTATAACCTCTCTTTTTTATTTATTAATTATTAAATAAAAAATGGCTGCATTTACGCCATTAGAAAAATTAGGCATAGCGTTATCTGTATTATTATTGTTATATATTGTGTTGAAGATATGGAAAGTGTTGTATGTTTTTATAATCGGGCCAGCGGTAAATCGAATTGACTTCAAATCGCAGGGGAAATGGGCAAGTGAGTATTTAAATAATTATATAATTTTATATTTTAATACAATTAAATAAACAACATTTTTCTTATATGATACTACAAAAAAAAATATTTATACCGTGAATGCATCGTCTCCATAATTAGGTAAGTATAATGTTAAGATTTTACTTTTACTTTCATTTCGTGGCAAAGTATTTCTAGCAGCGCCATAACCAGTTAAGCTTAACTTTCTCATATTTTTTACACTTTGATTAAATGTCCAGTCTTGTTAATTTAAAAATAATATATATCATAAATATTATAACACAACTATCCGATATAAAATAATAGTAATATGCTCACGACTGTTATGCCTTATGTGGTAGACAGATGCATCCACATATTTTAAAGAAATTATGTAAATAGCTTTTTAAAAGTTTGCGGGTAGGTAGGTATTCAGAATACCCGTACGTAAATACGTGTAAGAAATATAATTATTTTGCTTTGTATTCTTATTAGCCCTTACTAGTATTATAAATATGAAAGTGATTTTGTTACTTTGTTTATTATTTGTTAGCATCTTATTGACTTAACCAATTATTATAATATTTTGTAAGCGTGTACTATATTGGATGGAGAAGGTTATAAGCTTTTTTATACCGGTCATATCCTAGTCACGTGACGAAGTCTTAATAAAAGATAGTATTAAATAAAGATTCCTATAAGAATGTATAATTTTACCAAAACGTAAGAAGATCTATCTGATTTTAGAATTATATTCAATATTCAAATAATATTGACATCTGTAAAAATAGTAATGTGTATTTGTCTAAGCATATCGCGATATATAATGATAAGGAGGTAGGCAAAAAAAGATTAGATACCATAAGTAATATATTGACGACACCTTACTATAAAATATGTGTTATTTATTGACAAATATCGATAATCTGTATATAATGATACAATCAACAAGTAAATAGGTATACTTTGTCTGTTACTTAAATAAAAACGAATCACTAAACTTCTTTCTCAACGCGATATTTGAGAACTTTTGGAAAATTATAATTAGACTAATTTTTTTAAGTCTTAGGAATGTTCCTATGAAGAGGAAATTGTAAAAATTCCCCGGAAAAACGTAATAACTTTTTTTTTTATTTACAAACAATTTTTTTATAGAACAATGTCTGTCGGCTTATTTAAACGATACTGAAACATGTAATAAAGAGGAAAGAGTTGATTTTTTTATATGTTTATTTGTAATAGATAAAATCGAAAACTATACAACCTATTGTAAATATTGTTTCATCTTTAGAAAGCTACATTCTTAGCAAGTAACATCGACTATATATTATTTAAAAAAAATCTAAATTTCTTTTTTTATGTTTGCCGTTCTATTAACTTAGAATGGCAAACAAGCTGACGACTCATCCGATGGCAAGCTGTAACCGTTGCTTTTAGACATAGACAATACCATGGACGTAACAGAGTATACTGTTTCGCCCATGATGGGGGATCTCCATTCGTTGCCATTTCTTAGGACTCAAGTGCTATTCCTTTGTACCTTGTAAATTCACTGTCATACTGAAATACAGACATGCAAACACAACTGCTTCACGGGAGATACACAAATGAGACGGAGGTACACAAGCAAGTGACTTTTGAACAAAGGCTCTCTCTACGAAAATTTCAATAAATTAATCCTAGCTATTAAAAAAATATCTATTAAATCTAATATGTATAAAATAATAATTTGTCTTTCTAATGTATCTTCCCGTACGGAGGATCGCTAGTTATTTATAAAATATAAATGTAACTTTTATGTGATTTTTATAAATATTTATTACGTCAAGTTGTTTATGGTGTAAACAGAGAGAACCGAAAGCATAAGTGAAAATAAAACTGTTCTAATACCCTTGCTTTATTCACTTTCATAACTCATATTCCGTCAGTTCCGGAGACTTTATTCTTTCATCAGTAATCCAACGTCTCTCTGATCGCTTGAGATTAATCCAGCTCTTGTCCATTTGCATTCTTCTACTTTCACATTGTTTATCTGTTTTCTATATTTTTCCATCTGACATTCTTTCCACGGCATATAACTTCGTACTGATAAAATAATTATTTTCGTCCAAAATGCTATATAATTTTCAATGTATTAATATTAATATCAATTCCATTAATTTACTAGACGGAGACTTTGTACAAAAGTCGTGTTTCTGCCATGTAACAGTTATGTCTGCATAGCTGTTTCCGTTTAAAGGGTGGGATATGACAATGTAATTAAAGGGTACAAAAGCATAACACCTTAGTTCCAAGAACACGTGAATGGTAACATAAGCGATACATACTCGTATACTCTTTTATATCCATGGTAATATTCAGGTCTATAGATGATGGTTACCACTTTGCCACTTTCCGTCGGGTGGATCTTTAACTCGTTTGTCTATCTTAGTTGCAAAAAGAACATGATATCTGTCTATGAATCTTCTTGTCAATGCATCTTGCGTCGTCACTTTTTTTTTTATAAAATATGTATATTTATATTATTTTTATAAAACGGTTAGTTGAAAAAATCATGTGTCATCATGTTCGAAAATGTTTGTATAAGTGAGTAGGTACCGAATAATTTCAGTTTTGTGGAACGCTGAATAGGCCATTCGACTGATTGCAACAACAATTAGGTATATAGATAACGAGGCCATTTCCTAATTTGATTTAGCTAATTGCTTTTCAAATAAACCACTAATAAAATTCACATTTCATTGCTATTTTCTTCGCTCCTTCGATTTAATTTTTTTTATTCAACTTAGACTGGCAAACAAGCTGATGACCCACCTGATGGAAAGAGGTAACCGTCGACTATAGACATGTGCAGTACCATGGACATAACAGACTATACTGTTTCGCCTATGATACCTCCCATGCGTTGCCATTCCTGAGGACTCATGTGTTATTCCTCTATATCCTATAAATTCACTGCCATATCCCAACATGAATGGGACAGAGGTACTAAGCAAACGACTTTCGTACAATGTCTCCGTCTTGTGAATCTGGTGAAAAAAGTTCTTAAACATGACTTGATTGCTACATTTGTTGTATGTATGTATGATCTATCAAAAGTTAACTAATTCTTTGGTCATGATAATAAATGACCATGTAGTCCCGGCAAAAATTAGGCCACCCCTTTCTTTCCCGTGGTTGTCCTAAGAGGCCAGTAAAGTAGGTAGAGGGATGGGCATCATCGTCCCTCTTAATACATCTTTAAAGCCTACCTACGGTTACCAATCCGCCTGTCAAGCGTGATATCTACTGGCAAAATCCTCCAAATGGGTGGCTTATATTCAGCAATGGACAGTTAAATGCTGGTATGACGATGATGATGCTAAAAGAATAGTGGCTATTAAGGTTCAAAGACTATTTTCAAGACGACACAATAAAATCGAAATTATGACATAAATAACCATAATATGTTAAATCTTGTGGTGTTTTTATTCTACAACAAAATGAAAGAATAAATTTCTGTTGCTAAGTTTTTTTACGATACATATACTCGTAGTTGTTAGTCTACTAAAAGATAAATATTTCAATTTTAGATATTGAGGTAATGTTTCCTTGTGTATATTGCCCATTTTTCGTATGGCAAATAATTATATTTCGTATCTCTTAATCTATAACTAAATATTCCTAACGTCTTATATAAACATTAATGACTGCAAAATAAAAGAAAAAAATCCTTAACCATATTTCACATCTATAGAAAAACTTTTTAAACAATGACAGAAAACACAAAATTTATTAAAATTTTCATAATTTTGAATATATTTAGGCATGCATCTACGTAAGTGTTCAATTATTTTTATTTTAAAAATTAATATAAAAAATATTTTAGTGAACAGTAGTACAGTTGAGATGAGCAATAATATTTCATCAATCTTAGTAATAATTACTGTATTTTCTCTATAGATCGTTGGTTGTAATCCGACTCGAAGGACCATTAATGATTATTTAAATTGGTCATTTGATATAAAATGCTTTATTTTTTTCCTAATCAGAATTTATATTAATAAAAGCATAAAACTAGGTTAGCATTTAAAAAAAAAATAATAATGGCTTGTACTCTCAACAATAACCTATGAACTAATTACAAAAATCTTGTTTAAAATTTCTATTCAGTTCCTGCATTTCCGGCTTAATTATATAGTTTTTGTTATCAACTGTTACTGTACATGTCACTATACGTGTATGTACCATAGCTACAGTATTTCCTGATGAAAATAAATATTTCGCTTTAATTACAGTAACAGTGTTCTTGATTCTACTTAAGGGAAAGCGGAATCACTTTAGTGATGTATTGTGATGTAAAATCAACTTTGACATTAAAATAATTTCCTTATAATAAATCAATATTAAATATAAAATAGTTCCTTCGTAGTTTCTGCTTTCATAGTTCTTTATTTTTTTTTATACTATAGATATAATGAAATTGTAAATTTGCAAAACAATATATTTTTTGAATATAGTTTTTTCTGTCTGTTTGTATGTTTTTTGCATCATACAGAAACTAGCACACAAACAAAAAAGTCTAACCTAAAATCTAGTGTATATTTTATCTTTATATGCCATTAAAATTATTGAATAGACTACTTCTAGAGTGATCTAGTTAAGTAGGTTTTCTACTTCTGAAACATGCGTACTAAGTAGCTAGCAATAAGCGAGTAACAAATACATGTTTTGGTGACCTGTATTTGTTACTCGCTGGTGGTGATTTTGCATTCTCTACAGGTTTTAACATTCTATAATAGACAACTCTGAGTAATGTTCCAAAGCAGTGCCTAGGATTAACCACATTTAAATATTATTGATCCCTACAGTGGTTATTAGGTTGCTTTTGTAGGTCTATTCTGAATTTCTGGGAGACCAAATGACAGTTTATTCTGCTTATAAAAATTTATTAATTATCATGAAACTATTATATTTATTAGTGAGAACAAAATGTCCCATCTTCAATAATGAAAGAGATCAGTTGACGATTTCAACACGCC